AAAAGGAAAAGAAAAGAAAAAAGCTACAATCTTATAGACTATCCTCAGGGATATCAAAAAAGGAGCCCAGTATTCTTTTTGTTTAAGTAGGTCGCCACTGACCTAATCGTTTACAGTATAACGAATGCGATTATTTCCTTCATAAATTTTAAATACAAGCAGAATAAAAATCACATTTTTTTCAGGCAACAGTAGCAGTTCAGTAGGTAAGTGGCTTGATCACATTTTTTGTTTTGTATTAGTAATGCATGCAAGCAGCTTTAGTATTACAGATCCCTTATAGGTCACGGAACGTTTGCTCTCTTTATAAAGTCCCTCCGTAAGTACCATCTTGTCTTCTCACGGGAGTTTCGGGCCGGCTGGAGGAGCCTGAACCTTGTTCGAAAGGTTGAGGAGTGCTTTGGGTATCCGATGCCAGAGCATCTGTGGCAGCTGGCTCCTGTATCACAGAGCCAGCCCCTTCGGCATCCTCGCTCTGTTCAAAGGACTGGTTGGATCCATTGCTTAGCTCTACGTTCACCGTGTTAGTTCTCAAAGCTACTATAGTTCCCGAATCGCTCCTCCTTTCTGCATAGATTCGCTGCTCAAAGACCTGAGCAGTGTTGGGCTGGAATTCAGGATCCAGGGAGACACTGTTTGTGGTGGAGCCCATGACCGTGCGGTACATCTCCATCCCCTCCGGCAGCATGGACTTAATCTTCGGCAACCAGCGCTTGCGGACCCGGCGGGCGTTGGTGCACATATCGGCTGCTATAACATTCATCTCGCTTTCCTTAAAGCTCGGGGCAAAATTCTGACAATACACTGCAAAGACAGGGATACACAGAGCTGAGGATTCAGAGAAAGCGATACAAGGGTGGCGCAAAGGTGATCACGGCCTCTGCCCTGCCGTAGAGACCTGCGCAAGTCTCGGCGTGGGCTGATGCTGTCTGCCAGAGCTCTCACAAGGAGAGACTTCCGGACGAGGACTCCTCCACTCCAGATAAAGAGATACAATCAGAAGGCATACAAATCCCAGGTGGGGCAGGGAAGCGGGATGGAGAGCGACCACTCGCTCTCCAGGCACCCAGTGAGCCCCAGAGGCACCAGGCTCCTGCCTGCAGGACCCAGCCTCCGGCCGGAGCACACCGCCTACGGCCACGGCGTGCTGGGATGGCCCAACCCAGAGATGGACACAGGAAAGGTCAACACCAACTCCTCAACAGCAGATCCATTAATGGCTCTTAAAACCACAGCGGTGCAGGCACAGCTACGGGGCTGGAAAACGTCAGAGCTGCTCTTGATGGAGTAGACTGCCCCGAGGACCGTCCTCTGCCTGTCCTACACCCCGTGCTGGCCACCGCAGGCCCAACCAGCTCTTCACGAGCCAACAGCCCGGCCAGTGTGGCCACTCCAGCACCCCTCCACCAGCACATCAGCTGGCTCGAACCTTGCAGAAGCCCAGCAAGACCTCGGCTGCAGCCCGGCTCCTCCGCAGGGGCCAAGCACCTGACGTTATGCAGCACCATCCAAGGAACTGCCACAGCAAGAATTATCAACTACGGCTTGTGTGCAGGGTAAAATTCAGGCAGCAAGAAGCCATCTTACGCCCTGACAGATGACAGCATGTCGTAGGCACTGTCTCTGGACAGCGATGCCTTTCCAACCTCTGAAGATACCTGCAAGCCTTAGCAAGGACCAAGGCTGGAAAGACCCAGGGTGCTCCGGGGTGAAGCTGCTAACGGGGAGGCTATCTCAGGAAGGCACCACGCACAAGCTATGGGCAAGCACCAACAGCACAGTTTGGTGATTTTTGTCTTTATATATTGGACATTGCCACCTCATCCTTTCTCTCCACATGTTACAGATCTCAGGGTGGCTGGAAGGCCCCTGGAGCACAGGAACAATTAGGGACAGGAAAGATTTATCTTCCCAATCTTAAAAATACATATAGTTTTTAAAATTGCTTAGTGTTTCATTTTCCAGCGCACTGATATTTACATAAGGATTTACTATCCAGTATCCAGTGAGGGTGACAGAGCACATTGCTCTCCACTGCAGATCAAGCCCATGGTAAAGGGGCTTCACTGCACCAACCCATCCGGGTTTCCTACACCACCCAGGTCCTCACACACCAGCAGGCACCTTCCATCCCACTTCTTGTATTCAGGGTTGACTGCAAGAGCCAAATATTTAAGCCCTGATTTCTGGAGCCTGCTACAAACAGTTAAACTGCCTTGATGGAAGGAACAAAATTCTCTTTTTCTTGTATCAACTCCAGGCGTTGGGCACAAATACGCACAGTGAAGCAGGTGGCCCTGCACATCCCAGCCCTGGCTAAAACTAGGGTGCTGTGTAGTCATGCAAACACCGGGGATCTTACCTGCAGGACAGCAGAAGGGGTGATAAACACCTGACCCTTTTGCACCCCCGGCTCTGAGACAGAGTTCAGCAGCTCTACAGAAAGACAGACCGACTAGCCGAGCCGCGCGGCATGATGCAGAGCTTTGCTTGCAGTTCAAACGTTAAAAACAAAAGTTCCTGTTGCTTTATGCAATCTTTTAAAAAAAAGCCATTATTTGCAGCAGGGCTCCCATTTTATGTATTAAAAAAAATAAAAGTCTACAAAAGATATTCAAGGAACTAGACTAAAACTAACAGAAAGGCTGCCAGCGAGATGGAGAGCAGATCCTCCCACGCTACCAGGGCTGAAGCAGCTAGTGGATTCCCTGATTCCCGGAGGCCCATTTACTGCCGAAGACCGACGGCCCCAAAAGCCCAGAGCACCACAAAGCTCTCGGGTACCGCCGCAGCCTGGGCACAGCGGGGCCAGCACCACCGAGGCAGGTGGAGGATGTCCCTGGGAGAGGGACTGGAGCAGTACACCATGCTCCTGCAAACCAGGGGATTTGGCAGAGTCACATACTCGGATGAATCCGAATGCGAGCCGGAGCCTGGGGGCATACAAGCTGGCACAAGGAGATGGCCTGTTGCAAGCTCTGAATGTTGCCAAAAACATAATTTCAATTTCCTTCTTAAAGCACCTATCAATAAAATAATTAACTGCAAAATTAACGCTTTATAATATAGCAAAAGAGTCAAGTAGCAATACTGTTTTATATTAAGGTACTGCCCAAACCCTCCCAAAATTACCTTCAGGACCCCAAAATGATGCAAAATAAAAAAAGAATAGTTTTCCTGTAACCTAATTTCACCCAACATAGCTCCCCTCGTTACGCAACAGAGATGGCCTTCCCTGCTTAGGTTTCGGCTTTGCTCTCGGCATGCTGTTCCAACAGAGCAGCAGTAAATCTCTCCTTACATTTGACTGCATTAAGAACCCTGCTGTCCAGGGGCTTCCTGCTGGGATCGCTCGTGGAGGACCGGATTCCAGTTCCGCAGCTGTTGGCAAGTGTGTTCCTGCAAGAAAGGCAAAGGAAGATCCTTACACTGGGGACTTGTCCTCTTCCCCTTAGGTCCTTACGGAGGGATCACCGTTCCAGAATCATTAAGACAGAGCACAGAAATGAGTGCAGCATATACAGAAGATGAAGCACTCTTGACACATTAGCTACTAACACAGTTAAAACAGCAGAAAACAAACCGAATCCCCTGGGAGAGCACAAAGAGCAGGAGGACATACCGATCAAAGAAGGTGGCCAGGAGACGTCTCAGAAGGACCTTGTGTTTGACACCGGCACATAAGTGGCAATTCATCAGCTGCCCCCGCGTGATATAAACACCGGAGCCTGGAAGGGTTGGAGAGGGAGAATCACAATTAAACCCTTGCCTGGCTGACAGCACCACCCCTGAGCCATGAACAAGCTGCTCCTCCACGCTGTCGCTCCTGACGATGGTGTGACACGGGCCGGTCTTCACGTGCTGCTACAACAGCCCAACAAGGCTGGCAGGATTTTGGGGAAAGCCCAGCAGCGGCTGTTATCGCAGTCCCTTGGGGTCTTGGCAAGTCCCAGGTAACAATAACTCCTAATTTTATCTGTACAGAAGGACAGTCTATGGAAACTTTTTTTCCCCTTGCATATGCACACAGTGCAAGGCTTTATACTGTGATTTTATGTGCAGATCAGATGATTTATTCTTTCTGAAGGAATAAAACCCCAGTCCATCTGGCCTTTTCTTTTCTGAAGTGAAAGATCGTAGAACTTATAGCTACAAAGAACAGAAAAAAACCCATCTAGCACAGAAAAGGCACTCAGTTACACTACAGATCTAACCATTTCCAAAATCCCCAGCCCATCACCTCTTGATACTTCTGGTGAGCAGGGAATTTTCCTTCTAATGCACAGGAACTGCTGACTTTGAAATGCACTGCCTTTAAGGATGTTCTCTGGAAGAAAAAGGAGCCCCTGCCAAAGCGGCTTTGCACGTCCAGGCAGTGCTTTACAGCAGGTTTCTCATCAAACCCTTTTACTCTGCACATAGCTCACACAGGCCTCCCGCCTCAGCATCGGCTTGCAGCGGGAGGTTATCCTGTTTTTCAGGCATACTGTTATACGAGAGGGTTTTGGTATGTGCATTTAATTCAGATTAAATAATGGGTCGTATCTGGATCCAGAACACACTGTTCTCAAGATATAGAAACATCTACTGGAGAAATAAAATTAG